ATTAGTTAATTTCAGCTTTTCCATGGGTATCTCAAGTACTAATCATCGCATTTCAATGAAACTTGGTACATAGATCCTTTAGGACTATGCAGAGACTGATTAGTTTTAGGGTAAATAATTGTGCATATTAATTACTAATTTGCATAATTAATTTTCAGCTTTTCTACTGATATCTAAAGTACTAATCATCACATTTCAATGAATCTAGAATTATGCAGACCAAATTAGTTTCCGGTAAATATTTGTGCATATTAATCACCTAATTTGCATAATTAACCAACTTTCACACTGATATCTCAGATACTATACATCACATATCAATGAATGTACATGGATGCTGTAGGACAATAGACAGACCTGAATAATTGTGGGTTACAATCTGTACATATTAATTACCTAATTTGCATAATTAACCAATTTTAAGCTTTCACACTGATATCTAAAGTACCGTAAAAACTCCAAAATTTCGACCGGTTTTAAATAATTGGTGTTAGGAATGTGACGTGTTTTTAGAGTCAAAATTAAGGTGCATTTTCGGACGGTCGAATTTTTCTGAATAGAAATCAGCAAATGAAAAAATGGGGATGATAGACAGTGTGCTTCATTAGTTTTTAAAAAATGCAATGTCCGTCAATTGACGTAAACTTCCTCATGTTTCACGGTAAAAGCAAAGGTCGTGGCCGAGTTGTAACTCAAAATCTAAACAAAGTCATCAATCAGTGAGTATTATGACAAGCAAAACAAAACATCAAGACGCGGAGAAGGGGTCAGCTCAAAACTAATAGGTCAAAAGACAAAGCTGTCTCGCACTACCTAGGAAAACTTGCGAATGTTCGAAGTACAGGTACCGACCCAGTGCAATGTATCCGGTTAGAATCAAAGCTCACGTGTCCCTTATTTGAGGGACCAAATTCTGCCGTAAATTCGCCCTTGGATTAAAAAATAAAATGGGATTTAAGAAAATAAAATGGGACTTTTAAGGTGTATTTTGGCGTCATTTTTCGGACATTTCAATCAATCCTGCCGGCTAAAATAGAGTAAGTTTTACCGTAGTCATTGACGTCTGTCTATTCAAGAGTACACGTGTATGATTTTTATCGTGACTAGCGTGAGCGGGTAAGCTTCCTTTCGAGAATGAGCTGTTATCACTGTGAACAATGTTAAATTATTCTTCAGATGACCAGTTTATTTTTTAAAAACAACTAATTTTTTTATTTAAAAAAAATCATGCCGTTTTCGCATCAAAATCCAAGCCAAAATATCGTACTACAATATCAATCTCTTCCGCATTGCGTTCAATAACATTAACATATTTAAATAAGCTATGGTAATTTGAACACGTTGGCATCATCCAGCTTTTTGATTGGTTAATTAGCGATTTGACCTATTTGACCAAAGAGAACATGGCGGATATCCTACAGCATCAAACGTTTATACGAGACCGGAATCATTCGCTTACGATGAAACTAAGTTGACTTTTATTTGTATTTCATAACCATTCAACAAATTTATTTTGTGTACATTATTATAATCACTACTGAGTACAGTAATAATCAACAATTCAGAAACGCAGCATGTTCGTTTTTATTTGAAACTTCGTTTATTTAGAATATATTTTCGTTACCAATAAAATAAAAATCTCACAGTCAATCAGAAACCCGGATTCATGCTTTCGAAGAAGGTCCCGTTTGAACGCTCACATCGTTTTTTTTTCGTTGGGTGAAAACTAAAACTGGTCGAAATTTTCGAATAAGAATGAGTCGGCAATTTTTAGTGGAGTCGAAAATTTTGAGGTAAATAAAACACCGAAACCCGGCAAATAAACAGGCGGTCGAATTTTTAGAGGGGTCGAAATTTTGGGGTTTTCACGGTACTAATTGATCCATTTCAATGAAACTTAGTACAAAGATGCTCTAGGACAATGTACAAACCTAATTAGTTTGGGGTAAAAATCTGTTCATATTAATTCCCTAATAAGCATAATAATTCATAATTTTTTGGTTCTAATCACATTTCAATTAAACTTGGAGACATAGATTTTCTGTTACATTGCGCAGACCTCATTAGTTTTACACTCAAATCTGGTCATATTAATTTTCTGATTTGCATAATTAGTTTTCAGCTAAGTAATTTCGAATTATATTTAATGTGTCTCCAATACTCTCAGCACATGGGAGTTCTTTCTAAGCTTTCTTTGATTTTGTGATGTCTTAGAAAATTTACTATATTTTTAGTGGGTTCATACAAAACAGATGTAGTCATTGAAGTCTACTGAGAACGCTGCTAAACTACCACTATATGCATATTACTTTACCGCCCTCTGAAAAAAGATTTACAGTGAACCAACAAATTTACATACTGTAAGAAACTTGGTAGTATGCCATTGGTTAGTGCATTTAATTTGTTTGATGCAATCATTGTGTCAGCCAGTTCTTATGGTAGCGATATGGGGGTACGAAAATTCGGAAATCGAGAGGGTACAGACAACATTTTGCAGATATCTACCTAGCGTAAATAGTTGTGCAAACAATGTAGCGATGTTGGACGAATGTGGAAGGCTGCCATTATGCTGTGGTTATTTCAAGCGCTGTATTGGTTAAAATTACTTGAAGTATAAAATAGCTGGAACCCCAAAACATGTTATATCATGCTTAAACGATTAGACAAGACCAGCAGACTTACTTGGAAAACCCATATAAAAATCTCCTGTTCAAATATGGTTTCGGCATTGTCTGGTTGGAAAAACAAGTTGTAGATACTGCAAATTTCTTAGAGATATTTACTCAAAGAATAAAACATTGCTAGCAAGAATGGCATGCCTCAATTTCACAATCATCCAAGCTGTGTACTTTCGAAAAAATCAAAGTAGTATTATAACCTGGGAAATTTATTGGCAAGCAATTATAGACTAAAATATTTATGACGAGTTTTCGCTGTTTTGGCCATAAACATAATGTTGAATTAGGCAGACATACAAAAATACAGTTTGATCAATAAATTTGTAGTTTTTGCAGTGATACGTTTGAATTTAGCATGGTAGAGAATGAAATTCAATTTGTTTTTATATGTCCATTATATAATGATAGTATTTGCAATTA